CACTTTTTACAAAACTCCAGTTTGATACCACATAAGTTAATAAGCACTTTTACAAAAAAGCATAAGTTGTTTTAATAAGCAATCCCAAACACCCCCTAAGAACACACATATGAGATAGAGTTAAGTTGTTAAGGTATCCTTCACAATGGTGATTGCCCAAGGAAGCCTTAACACGTATCGGCCCCACTAAGTAGCCCAAAAAGAGTTTATGGATGAGAAGCCATCTTCCGCAGGTAATATTCAGAGTGTGGAATGCCTCTTGCACTACTTTCTAACAAGATATTGATTAGCTGAATCACACTAGCTTAAAGAAACAAGTTTGAATAAATTACTTTATCATTAAAAAGAGTGTGAATGACGTAATAATGATGTAATGGGCACCAAAATGGTGACAAACAAATGTACAATAGCTTGTTGTGTTAAAATCAAACAATAATTTGACACTTTTGAGCATGTTCCAAATTAGTTTGTTGACAAACATGGCCTAAATGAGGACACGGTAACTAACAACTAATAGAATCGACATAATACATCTAGACCCTCAATGCAAAAAATCATGCGGAAGAGACACCATGTGATGCACCTCCAAATTATCTTCACGTTCCTCTTTTTTACAAATTATATTCCTCTCTAGTCGTAGGCTACAAAGACGACATGCATACGAACAACATTGGATAGAGAAATCATCATCTATAGCAACAATTACTTCTAATATATTCCACTATAGTCAACCACCATGTTCATCAAATACCACCCAATTTTTCAAAATATTTAGGAGTGTTTGTAGCCCAGTTTGCCAATTTGAGAGGCAAAATGTTGGCCGAAATGAAAAGAACGGTTTGATAAATTTTCAACGGAACCGACCAAACCAACAAAACTTTCTAGAACTGGTTTGGCGGTTTGGGTAGATATTATTTTAGTTTTCACATAAAAAACTTCATGAGGAATGATAAAAATACACATCTATGATCTAATCATTCAAAAATACACAACTATTAGAAACACATCAAATCATTCATTTTTTAAGGAAAAAAGCGTATCCAACCATTTCAAATATTAACTCATTCATGACAAGAAACTAGAACCCATACAAAAGTAAAAAAAAAATAAGGTTTAGGTTAACGTAACTAGGTTTTTGTTATTTTGAATACAAAAATTGATGATGTAAAAATTCACCATTGTCGCCTTACAAGAAAGAAAAAAACCTTCTTACCAATTCCTCTGTCTATAAATAATTAGTGTACTTTAAAAGTTGTATATGTTATTATATAAGGCTGGTTTGGCATTACCAAGTTTTCTTTGCTTGAAGTTTCCCAAACCGATCATCCATAAATATGATGACCAAACAAACAAAACCAATTCAATTTCTTTAGTTTTTGCGGTTTATTTAGTGTCACCCAAACCATGAACGCCACAAGCTATATTGCCTTGTCAACTCCTCATATGCCATAACAATCACATATAATATATATTGCACATGAAACCTAATATAAACCACAACTAACCTTACCATGTTGGTCGATTACATCCACCAAGTCACAAACATGGGCAAATACTACTTCAATAAAACTATTGTTGGTAATAGTTCCAAACAAGAATTCAATTTAATGGCCTACTTTCCTCCCAACTAAAAGGGCGGATTTACATGGAGAGAAGAGGGTGCACATGCATCCGCTCTGTCGATTTTGATGCCATAGATAAAAATTTAAGGTCCTTTAAAGGTGCACCCCACTTTAATAGCATATGTCCACCCCTAAATCAACAAAAAGTGGTTGTAGCTACTGGTAGTGTCATTGCATGTTGTATAATACGTTGCAGGTTCAAATCCCTTTAACTCTTTTTAATTTCTTAGCAACTTCAGCATAAATAAGAAAAAAAGAAGGAAAATCCGCTTGGGTGTTGCAAAAAACCACTTGTATGTCATTTTCAATTAAACCGTATTTTTTATAATTAATTTTTGTTTTATTTTATATTATGTTAATTATTTTATGCCCCCGTTCAGAAAAACCCAAATATGCTTCAACCAACTAATGTGAATGAAACTCACTAGAGCCAATTGGTTGGAATTTTTCAAACTATTATAATGGTAGTCCAAGACTGTATGGCAAACATTTAGCATATGGGTTGTTTACTCTTTTATAGAGATTTGTAACTATCATACTATTTCTCCAAGAATTTTCAATACCAGAAAACCAAATATCATAATCGTCTGACCTTCTCACTAAAAAGATGTTTTTGTTATTGCACTCTCTGAAGAAAAGGTAAGACTAAGATCTTTATCCTTAAAGAATGCTATATGACGGACTTTGCATATTTTAAAAGTTTAACGGTAATGTTATGTTCTCAATGGAACCAATTGTCTTGGTTGTAGAAGCAAATACCGCAAGAACAATACGCCTTCTTAATTCTTATATCCATTTATCTATTACTTGGTTTATATAATGAAAACTTTATATGCTTAATAGCCTGCCTTATAGCACATGATTGGCGATGTCATTGGATTTACTTTTCTGATGTGTTCATCTTTATGTTGACAGAATCTGACATTGGCATTTGCACCCATCATAGATTCCAGTCTATTTCTGAACACCAGTTTATACTTTGTCATCCACCCCCAAAAACCCCATCAACTTATTCTGAATTTAGTATAATTACCACAGGGAAATATTTCCTAGATTTTATTTGAAACAGCATTTTCACTTTAGTCATGTAGCCTAATCATAAGTAGCAAACCAAAAACTTCAGTAAAAAATAAAGTGGCAACTGAACTGACCAATGAGGAACTAATCTTCATAGCCAATTCTTTTAATTTTGGCTGAATGGTTAAGTGGTGTGAGCCGATTTGAACATGTTGAAAATCCAACGCCTCTCTCGATTTCTGATTGGATGGCTTGAATAGAGAGACGGAGTCCAATAACCATGAGTGGTTTTCTTTCAACTTATTCGCCTGCATACCCACACTTCAACTCAAATTCAAATGAACTAGAAAGATTTCAAGAAATACAACTTTGAAAATGAACGAATATAAGTTTTACCAGAGAAATTGGGAGTTCGGAAGATGTCGAAAGGTTTTCGAGTTCGGTGAGTAAGTCTGTGAAGGGCTCCCACCATAGCGAGGCATTGACAGACTTGGTGGTCGCCATTGGAGTTAGCTTGAAGCTTGTAAACCCTAGGGGTTTTAAAGAGGTTCACGACAATAATTCACGTAGCCCGCGCTTTTGTGCTGAATTTAGTATATGGTTTGTTACAATAATGGCCCTTGATGTTTGTATTTTTTGGAAAAGTAACCATGAAAAAACCTTTGTTTAGAGCACCCACATGGGGCTTGCAATTTGAATTGCAAATTGACTTTTGTCAGGTATCTTGTTGCCATGTAGGATCTCAATTGCAAAATTTGCAATTCACATTGAAAGCCACGTGGGCCATCAACCTCCTCTCCAAATTTTTTTTTTTT